TTATTACAATATCAACAACAGTTATTTTATAGATTTAGATAGAAAGTACTACACAGTTGAAATAAGGGAATCGTGTATGTATGTCAGTGTGAGTGTTTGTGTGTATGTGTGTGTGCGTGTATAAAGTAGTACCAGGCAGACCTCACACTTAAAGAGGAACGAAATCCTTACCACAGAGGCTGTCCAACTATACAGAACTACTCCATGTGTAAATTTTTAGGATACTATGTGTTAAAGCCTGACTGAAAAGTTTTCTGTGACACTCCTGTAAATTGGGGGTTAGGGAGAGTTTACTCTGGGGGGGGGGGGGGGGGGGGGGAAGCAAGGCACAGGGTGGTATACCTCTAAAACAATCTTTCTTGATTACTGAACGTTAGTCTGAAATCAGGGGTCTCGGAGAGGGGAAAAAAAAAAGTGTGAAGTATCTTGGTCATAGTAGGTGATAGATCGTTCATGAAGTCCTTTGGTAAAGCACACTGTTCTACCCCTTTGAGAACATTTGCTAATCATCCTGAATAACCATCTAAAGTATATTATGTAGATTACTTCACTCTTAAAAAGGTTTTCCGAAACATGATTTAAGCTAATTGATGAGCATTCATTACTAGGCTTTCAGGTCTGGTCCTGCACAGAATGGCCCCAGACATGCTACATGAATATTTGTTTTTGTGTCTTGTATATTATTTCTATTATCCTTGCCAGACTGTTATCTATTTTTTCTTACAATAGACAGTAGATTTAACAGTTCCCCATTCTCCAAACTAGTCCCTACCACATCCTTGTAAACCTCCCACACTACTCAATCTACAGTTTTCTTATCTACTAGGGGTTAGAAGCCAAATAATTTAGCTGGTTAAACACATTTTGAATAAATGCCAACAGGTTCTGAGAATCTCAAAGGCTCTCATGCTTTAAGATATAGGCTGGGGGCTGGGAAGGTGGCTCAGTGGTAGAGCACTTGCTTTGCATGCATGAAGCCCTGGGTTTGATTCCTTAGCACCACATAAGCAAAAAGAAAAAAAGCCAGAAGTGGCGCTGTGGCTCAAGTGGTAGAGTGCTAGCCTTGAGCTGAAGAGCTGAGGGACAGCGCCCAGGCCCAGAATTCAGGCCCCACTAACGGACCCAAAAAAAAAAAATTTTTTTTTTAAAAAGTTATAGGCTGGAACAATTGGCTTCCCTAGACTTTTGCTGCTTAAGTGTCTTTTTCTCAAATACATTTTGTAACAAGTCAAGGATAGTAGTGCAAGCAAATCATTTAGATTAGGGAAAGCCCAAATAATTAATATCTAAAACTAGAAAACAGCAAGAAAAAAAGATTATTTGGGAAGACCCTTAAGTGCCTCAATGAAGTTGTAGGTATTTTAATCAAGACCACTTAATCCTTATAATACCCTCAAAAGTTAAAGATTATTTTTACATTTTCAGTTAAAATTAAAAAAAAAAAAGCTTCTGAAGTAATTTACCCAAAAGTATAACTGAGAAGCCAACTATTAGCATAGGACTCTGTTTCCAAACTCCAAAGCTTTTCTATTTTCTACTACATGGAATTGCTACCCAATCTATATTTATTGGTTTAACATTTTTACGTGTCATTCTGATCCTTTCACTGAAACCTAATTCAAGTTTGCGTTCTTCTTCTTACTGCTTTTTGCAACTAAAGGGCAATGGTTAACGAAATTGAAGCCAAAAAAAGCTTAACTCTTCAAGTGTACATCTGTTCAATAACATGTTTCTGGAACACTGTCCATTATCTTCCATTTGTATAGACTGCAAAAACCGGTGACAGATCCAAAACCCTTTCTGCTCCACAGAGAAAGCACTGACTGTTCCCAATGACTCTATCATACCTTCTTCAGTGCTGTCCTATATACACTGATACAAAGTAATGCAAGTATAGTGCAGGAACTGACTCAGTAATGAATTTATTACATTTATGCTCCCTCATTTCTACATTGTCATAACTAATTTTCTTATTCTAAGTACTAGGGAAATAAAGTTGCCGCATGCCTATTTCCATAAAAAAACATGGCTGTACTTGCTCACTATTACCTTTATTGCCTAGTACTAGGGCTGTTGTTTGTTGAATAAATATATACAACTGCTCAAAAAATACAAGTTATGTGATGAATAAATTTACAACTTCTCCTGAACTACTTTTGAGTTATTTACATTTCACATTTTCTGACATAACTTTGCAGGACTTACTAGAAAACATCTTCCTTGTTACAGAAATTAAGGTCCTAAAATGGCTCTTGTACTCATATCAAAAGACAAAGAATCTAAGTACCAGTGGCTCATGCCTGCATTCCTAGTTGGGAGGCTGCTAGCAAGAAGACTGAGGAATGAGGCCAGAAAGAAAAGTTCAAGGAACACCCACTACACACACACCAATAGTTAGGCGCAGTGGTACATACCTGTCATTCTAGCTATGTGGGGAAGCTGGGACTATAGTTCCACACCAGCCAGGCTGGCTCAAGTCTGTAATTCTAGCTACTTGGGAGGCTGGTAACAGGAAGGTTGAAAATTGAAAGCCAACCTGACAGAAAAATTCAAGAGACTCTCAACCAACAGCTAGTTGCAGTGGTACATGCCTGTCATCCTAGATTTGTAGGAGTCTGAGATAGGGTCCATAGTTCCAGGCCAGCCAGGCAGAAAAGTGGTAAGATGTACGCTATGCCCAACATAAGAAGCAGGGTGGAAGAAGTTGAGTATGGGACTGCAAACCTGTCATTCCAGCTACAGTGAAAAGTGGAAAAAATAAAAGAATCATGGTCTAGGCACACACCAAGGGAGGAAACAAGACTATCAAAAATAATGAGTGCAAAAAAGGGATAGAGATGTGGCTCAGCAGAAGCACAAGGCTCCAAGTTCAAACCCCAGTACCAAATAAATAATAAATCTAAAAAGTTATGCCCTTCTTCACCTTCTAAAAGATGCTTGCCTCAAGAACGAGTAAATCTCCAATCTGACAGTTTACTATATACAGCTTGCATATGCTTTAGAAAAGCACCCTACCTATACAAGAAAGTTGTTCCAAACGAGCACTAAACCAGCTGAATCAAAATCAAAATAAGAAAACATTTTAAACCTAAAAGTAAAAATTGACAATACTGACAACATGCAAAACCCAAAAGGTACTTGGCAAGCAATTTAGCAGCTATTTTTTTTTACATTCACATATTTTGCCCCCAAAGGTGTAGTGAAATTATGACATTTTCTTAATATTTATAACATGAAAATGAAAAGTGGACCTCCTATTCTCAGGAAGCAGAAACAGTTCAACATTATAAAAAAAAAATACTGTATACCCAAATCATCCCCAGTATTCCTACAAAGAGTTAAAACACATACAAGCCTGATAGGCTACATGGCAACAGGAAATTGTCATGCACAGTTTCTTACAAAACTTTATTTCTGGAACCTTGCAGATTGAGTAGAGATTTAGAAATCAAATTTTGTTGAACACCTACAAAGTGAAATAACTTAAGGTGTAGCTATAAAATCTAAAGAACCTTTTCTAACAAAAGAACAGAAGTGGATGTTTCCAATGGCATCAGAGTAATTAAACTTGGCCAATAAGCTTCCTTAAATTTACCTCCACTAGATTTTAACATTAAACACTTAGGCATTCACTTTAGAAATGCACAAAGACTGTACTATAATTACTGCTAAGACAGTGAAAGCTAAAACTAAGTTATTTTAAAAATTATTGTTATGTTGAATTTAACATTTGCTAAAAGATCTTCTTGCAGAGGAAGAAGTTAAATAAGAAAGTTTTCCTAATTAAAATCAAATTATGACATTTTATGAAGACCATTCTACATTTTTCCAACTCTATTACATTTGCTCTACTAACTTACGCATTAAAACTTCAACTTTCATGTAACTTTGAATTATCATTTCTCTGTAAGAGGGAAACTTTTCAATAAATGTATTTTCAGCACAGTAAATGTAAATGCATTCTCAGATAAGGCTCAAGGAAAGCATACTTAAATGATGGCGGTTCAGTTCACCTGAAGTCAGAGAAAATAAAAAGGAACTTTGGAAATTCATTCACATTTCAGGAGAGCAATTTGGAAAGATAAAACTACTCTATGTGTGCCTATAGTAGTTTTATATGTGTCGTTTTAAGTTTAAAGCAACCTCGAATTAGTATATTCTAAAATGTTACAAGACCTGACTTTAATGGAAAATGCTACTTCCAAATTCGTCTTACCTGGAGTTTTTTGTTTTTGTTTAATAGAAGTCTGACAACTAACAGGTGGCGTTTACCTTTCAGGACAAACCGAAGAAATAACAATATAATCACTATAATCTACCTACTGTTTTCTTTTGTTGAGGATCGGAAAGAAGCCATAATCAAGCAAGGGTAAGTCAAAGACAAAAGTACCTGACCCAAAGAGAGTTTCCCTGAAAGAACTCCTCAATCTTGGAATAATTTTGAAACCCAAGCTGGGGATACCTGAAATCAATTAGAATTAGCATGCGCCCTAAAGGGGTATGACCAAAGCTAGCAGGCTGCACCTACAGCAGAACTTTCCCAAGTGTGTGGAGGACGATCCCAGCAGAGCATCAGTCGTGAGCGTGCTCCAATGAAGACGCCCAGACAATTCAGATCCCGCGACCGTGGCAGTTAACAAAGGGTACGGACCAAAATAAACAACAACACAACAACAACAAAAGCAGAAAAGTGGAAGCAAAGTATCTCACGCTCCGAACTCTGCTGCCCCAACAACTCCTCGAACAAGAGAACCTGTCCTTCGGCTTCGGAAATCAGTTCTCCGAACTACACTGAGGGTGCTAGCGAGCGCCGGGGAAGGGAGGCGGGCCGGGCTGGGCCGGGGACTCGGGGACCGCAGCCCCGCTCTCCGACGCCCACCCCGGCCCGCGCGCCCACGGCCCCGCCACACCCCAGCCCCCACCCGCCGTGGCCATGTGACACGCCGGCCCGGCCGCACAAACACACCCCTGCCCGAGGCCCGCGGGCGCCGAGGCTTTACCTGCACCGAGGCGCCAGGTCCGGCCCCGACAGATCCGGGGGACCGGGACCTTTTGTTCCTTCCCCTGCCAAATGGATGGAGGGGGCTGGGAGAAGAGGAGGGGAATGGGCGATCCCAGGCGGAACTGAAAACACTCCGGGCCGCCGAGCCCCCGCCCCGCCCCGCCCCCAGCCCCGTGCCTGGCAGCCACCCCGCCGCTCCGAGCCGAGCCCAGCGGAGCTCAGGGAGGAGGGAGGGGGCCCGGCCGCCGCCCGCCGAGGAGGGGGTGGGGACGCCGCCGCCCCTCCTCCCCTCGGGCGCGCGCCCGCCGCCCTCCCAGCCCCGCGCGCCGCGCCCTCACCACCGGCCCACCTCCACTTCCGCCCTCCGCCCCGGCCGCGGGCCGCAGCGCACCCACCTCCGGGCGGCTCGCTCGGCGCTCGCGAGCTGCAGGCTGGCGAGCTGCTTCTCCGCCGCCGCGGCCGCGCGGTAGACCCGCCTCCCACCCCGGGCCGCGAGCCCCGCCGATTCGCCGGCGCAGCCCCGGGGCTGGCACCCTGCCTCACGCTGATTGGCGCCCCCAGCCGCCCGTTAGGGCGCGAGGCACGCCGGCCGAACGCCGCGCGGGGTGCGCACGGAAGACGGAGCGAGTGGAGGAGGGAAGGAAGGAGGCTGAGCACCGCGGGAAGGGCCAGCCGCGGAGCGGAGCCCTGGGAGGCGCGGGCTACAGCCTCCCCACCTCCCAGTACCTTCAGCCCGCCCCACCTCCGGCCGGACCGGCAGCACTCGCAGCCAATGAGCGCTCGGGGAGCTCGGGGTGTGAGCCGCGCGTCGGGGCCCTGGAATCGGAAGGGAGACGTCGCTCGCTGATTGGTCCCGCCTCCCCCGTCCAGCGTGAGGCGAGGCGCGGCCGGGCGGGGTAGGATGCCGGGGGTTTCGCTTGAGTTTGTCTTCTGCACGTTCCCACGGGGCTCGCGGAGAGGCGAAAGAGGCCTGCGGCCTACCGCGCTAAACAGACCACGTCCCATCCACAGACTCTTTTTCCCCGCTCCCGGTCCCCAGCCAGCACCTCTCAAGGGAGAACTGCCGCCTGGTCCGCCTTTTGTCAGGAGGCCGAGAATGGACACGTGCTTGTGTCCCCTGGGACAGAGCCTCGGGGCGGCCCCGAGGACCGGACACGACTGGAGCCGAAAGGGCTTGGAAGAAGCTCGAGTGGTGGGCCGAAGATGGGCGCGCCCTTATGCAAATGAGTGGGCGGGGCTTTGTGCTGGAGGACGGGGGGCGGGACCAGGTGGTTCACACACACTCTCTCTCTCTCTCTCTCTCCTCTCTCTCTCTCTCTCTCTCTCTCTTTCTCCCTCTCTCTCTCTCTCTCTCTCTCTCTCTCTCCTCTGTAATCGTTTAGGGTGAGGGAGTTGTGAAGTGTTTTTCTTCCAACTGAATCTTGCTTCATCTAAAGTAAAAATTATACTGATCTTGCTCGTCGTGCTTTGTAAAAGGTGAGCGCCTGGCAGTGAGCTCCTTAACTGCTGGCTTTATCTTTCCTAACGCTTTTTTTTTTCTCCACTGTTCAGTTTGTTTCATGATCCTAACTTGGCAAGTTTGCTCTACTGGAAGCAGCGAAGCTATCCAAGGGTGTGTAACTACTGCGTTCCGTGGTAACCTTGTTTTTGTTTTTTACTTAACATGGATGAAATATTGAGCTCAAATAATCACATCCAGTACTAACCACCACTATGTTACGCAGGGAGGACCGTGAAAATACGGTTAAAAAGAAACTTAGGTTCCACAGAGGCTGCGGCAGAAACAAGTCTAGAACACAGTTTTCCAATACTCATACTTGTGTAATTCTCATAGATTTAGTAGGAGATTCAGGGAAATGATCACTAGCAATCAGGAAGTGCCAAATGATTATTTCCAGCACCAAGAGTTTTTTTAAATAAATACACTCTTGAGAGTGTGGCCATCCCAGAGGAGGGTACCTTTATATAGTCCATGAGAGATATTTGGCCATTCCCTAAGTCTTACAGGTTTTCTAGATGTACTTTAAAAATCTTCATTACCACTACCTCTCCTCAAATGTAGCAATACTGATCTCATGGGAAAGTTCTGGTGATGAGAGTGAACCTTGAACATAGGCATAGGCCAGTTGTAGTTTAAAGAACAGCTTTGTTCCAAATGTATGACCTCTGGCAAAATGGAGCTTACTTGCAATAATACCTACTTAAATGTAATTTGTGATGAAGTAAAATAATAAATGTCAGTAAATAGCAAAGGGCTTAGAAATTACGGGAAGTTCATTGGCCATTAACTTTCCTCTTCTGTTTTGTAAAGGCATGCCTTTTTAGAAGAAGTTGTGAGCTAGTAGGGATATACTTTAGTGGCAGAATATTTATGTAGCATGTTTGTTGCTTTCTACCTAGCACCAAACCCAGTGTTTTAGCCCCTAGGCCCAAAACTCCAGGAGTTCCACATGTCAAGTTAGGCTTTTGGCCCCCACACACCAAATCAAGAGACTCATAGTTAAGGACAGAGAAAGGTGTTTGGTGTAGCACAAGATAGCACTTGGGGCTATCTTGAGCCATCTTCCAGTAACAGATGTTTGCCTTAGGCAGAATTGAGGTAACAGTAAGAGGTTTGCATACTTAAACAGTTCTGGTGAAAATCATATTTGGTGGTCAGAGGTGTTCAAGTGGTCTGACAAGTGTGTTGTCTCACTACTTACTGGTCAGGTAAAGTCTTTTTACAATAGGAGTCATTTATACATGGCAGATTTGTCCACTTGACAAATAGCTTTAATATGAAACAGACTATTAAAACTACCTTTAGTCATATAAATTTTCCCTGTATAAACAATGTGTAAATTAGAGTATCCAAGTGTGTAGCAAGAGTGGTAACAAGCAGAACAGGATTGGATTCTAGAGGAATCTGCTCCTAGTATGGGAGTTAATAAGTTTGAGACGTATTAACTCAGCGGGTAATATATCTTAAATTATTTCTCTTAATTATTGGACTTTCAGTTCCTAACTTCTGTTTAGAGAGCTTTGTAAGACTAGAGAATTGAAGAAAGAAGAGGGGCATCTAGCCACTAACGCAGTCCCCAAGGAGTATAGAAATGGGAACATGCCTACTGCCCCCTCCACTTAGAAATGCATCTAAACCAAAGTGGGTCAAGACAAACTAAAGGCACATAGAGCAAGGATTGCTCTATGTTGCCATGGAAACAATCAGCTTGGAAATCCACTAGGGTACCTGAAGATCTATCTGTAGGTTCCTATTGGATGAATTATATTGAATGAGTCTGATTTTTATATAGATATCAAGTTTAACCCTTTGTAACTAATGCCACTGCAAAATCAATTAAGCCTAAATCAATTCAGAATGCATTTAAAGGTAGTTAAGTACATCCAAAAGACATGAGAAAAATGATAATGGTGGTTGTTTCTATAAGGAGCCTAATTATGGTCATGAATGGAAAAGTTGTTTCCTTCTAACTTCTGTAATTTGATTGTTTAAATACATTTTGGTTTTTCAAAAGATACCTCTCATTCCATCTTCTGTCTGATAAATCTATAAAATACTTCTTGGCTACACCAGCCCAAAGTGATTCATTGATGTATCATGCAAATGAATTTTTTCTTAGAGTTTGAATGATACTTATACCATAGCTTTAGTTAAGGTTTTGTTTCATTTGTGTTGTCTTGATCAGTTTCATAACTTCTCATACATGTATACATGTCTCTGCAGCTACAAAATTACTGAAGGCAAAGAACAAATTATTTTTAATTGCTTTTTCATTCCCTTATCAAAAGACTAAGTTATGAAAGAAAGGAAAAATATAGCATTTCACCAGGTGTTGGTGGCTCATTCCTGTAATCCTAGCCACTCAGGAAGCAGAGATCTGAAAATTGCCACTCAAAGTCTTTTTTTTTAACCATATATTTTTTAATTTATTTTTTATTGTGAAAATACTGTACAGAGGGGTTACAATTACATGGGCAAGATAATGAGTACATTTCTTATCAAGCATTGTAGCCTCCTCCTTTGTTTCCCCTTCCCATCCCTTCCCAGCCTCCCCCCCCACCCAACCTCCCCTCCCCCCCACCAAAGTTGTAAAGTTCGTTTTTGACATGACAACATTATCTCCAACAGACTACTCAGATAAAGCCATAGTGGCACTGTGGCACAAGTGGTAATGCACTAGCCCTGAATTCCAGCCCCACGACTGGCACTAATAATAATAATAATAATAAATGTGTGTATATATAGCATTTTCATAACAGGAAAGTGTGTATCAATCATTCTTTCACTTTTATCCCATCCTTCAAAGGGAATGTTTGTAGCTGCCCTCAATATAACAGTTAGATCTCTTCTCAACATCTGTGGTCTATTTGCTCATCTTAGTGGGACAAAGTTGCAATAAACATTATTATATCATAAGGAAAGATCTAATTACTGACAAGTGAAAAGACACTGGTTAGTTCAGATAACCTAAGTAAACTTTTATTCAAATTACAGTTAAGAAATCCAACTGGATTTGCATATCATATGGTAAATGTATACATACTTACAAGTACACAAAGCCCTCATTCACTTGTTAGTTTGCTAAAAATAGAAACTATTCATTGTCTGATAGGAAATGCCAAAGACAAGAACAAGAACAGACATAAAATTTAATAGATGTCTGTTAGGCATATTATGTGCCTAACTTAAAAATATTGGCTGAACCTGGTAGAAAAGGTCATTGTATGGCCAAATTTACTCAAGAAAATTTGACATCCAAGAAGGGTTTTTTGTAGGACTTTTTAATATTTTTATTGTAAAGATACTGTACAGAGGGGTTACAGTTACATGAGCAAGGTAATGAGTCCATTTCCTATCGAGCATTGTTACCCCCTTCTTTGTTTTTCCCCTACCTTCCCTTTCTTCCCCCCTTCCTCCCTACCCCCCACCACCAAAATTTAAAGTTCTTTTTCAACATAGTGTCTTGTACATCTCGTTGTTAAAATGGGTCATCCTATATCCTTATTTCAGCATTTTGTTATTTTCCTTCCCCTCCCCCAATTAGAAAAACTGAATATACAAGATTCAGAACACCAGAATCAGATACAGTGACAACAGGAGTTATACCATGAGAGAACATAC